TTTTACATCAAAACTTTGTAGGGAATATACCTTAACATCTTATTTCCATAATTATCAGCATGTCATATTTGGCATGCACACTTGTTTGATAAATAATTAATGCGGGTTTTATTTCAAAACAGATTTATGTAGGTAAACTATTCTAACAAAGAATAAATAATTTCCATGGTAGTTGTCACTTGGTGATAACGCTAAAAATGCTTTTAACATTGAATGATATCTAAGGTGTATACAAATGCTAACAGTTTTTTTTTTAAAACTGATGTATAAAAATTATCGATATTTGTTTCAGTTGAAGATGATGGGAATCTTGTGAGACTTCTTTCTTCTGCGCCAGAGTTGGCACCAAAGTTGGTTGCTATTGAGAAAGATGAATGTATTGTGAACATGGCTATTGTATGTGATGGTACACATATTCTTCTAAAGACAGCCGATTCAATAGGGGCCATAGCTGTGTTGATTGGTTTGATTAACTTCTTATGCTAATATGCTACTATGAATGAAATATGTATGTATACACAGGTGCTTTGGTTCCTTCAGCAAACTGTACTTCAGCAGCAGTTTGATGGGCATACGAGCTATGGATTTGTTCAATATTTAAAGAGAATGAACACGGAAATGGAGAGAAAAGAAAAGAAGCCAATGTGACTTAAGTGATCCAGCTATAAGGAAAAGTTGAACTTTATAATAATGCCTTAATATGTAACTATTCGCACTCTTCATCATAAGTATTTTTGAAGAACTGATTTCATAAATTAAATGTGATATTTGCAAGCTGAAGGCATTATTGAGGGGTGAACATCTCATCATATTTAATGACTAGTAAATCCATAATTGTTTTATCCTATGTTTTGTTACAAAGATAAATAGTTTCATTAACTGTAGATTTTTTTTTTTTTGGTTTGCAAGTAAATTAAAAGTTTTATTATATTTATTTATTTTATGTTTATCACAGACTGTACTTAATGATGATCATGAATTATTAATACATTGCTTCTGATCATCTATGCTAATTACAGAGGATGACTGCTGCACAATCCATTTATATAAATGGCACAAGATTTCATGAAAAAACACACATATTTTATAAAAAGCGAATGATTTTAACCAATAGAAATCTGGCTATTTTAGTACAAATTAATAATTTCATATTTCTTGCAACAGATGTTTGATGATGTCATAATTTTTAGCTTGATTATTTAAAAAATGGTAAGGCAATAGCTTAGCAGCTGATTATAGCATTAATGTTGCATGACACAATGTTAAGTTTTTTAGACAAAGAAAGACAACCATGGACTTCTGATATTTATTTGGAACTTCACACATTTTTTGTATGCAAATATAAGTTAACATAAAAAGACCAATAACTCTGTTCTGCATTTTGACTAAATGATGTACCTTTTAGAAAATTCTGCATATATAAAATTATGTATTTTTTTGTGCGAAAGTTGTATCTCCAGTCATAGAATTTTAGCCGAAACTTTGTACATGTGTTACATACGAAAATATTATTTACCAATACCCATTCAAGGTAATTATGCCTCATTTTGGAGTAAATGCATTGAGAATTGTGCAGGCATGTTGTCACTCTAACAGCTCATTTCATGCTTGTGTTTAGCAAAGTTGTATTCTTGAATTATGTTAAATTAAAAATGAAAAAAAACTGTATAATGTTATTATAAATAAATTCCAAAAATACTTCATTAGCATTTTTTGTAGTTACAATATGCTGTTCATGTATTTCCTTAGTTGTTTTGATCTTACCTGAACATATACAGTAAACACGTTATGCATTTGAAATTGAAATATGTGACATGTTTATCAGGAACGCTTTGAAAGCAGCACATGTGGGTTTGGAAACATGTTGCAAGTTCCAGTTTGAAACACCAAACGTGTTTACTGTACATGTTCAGGTGTTCCCAAACTGTAACATTATAAGTGTTCTGCTATGAAACATGTCACATGTTTCAGTTTGAAACACCAGGAAGCGTGTAAAACTGGAACATTTGTGCGTTTATTCGTGAACATGTGACGTGTTCCATTCTATGGTGTTTCCAAAGTGTAACAGGAAAAGTGTTTCGAAATGTGTTTAAAACTTAAACGCCCGTTTTTACAGTGTACTCACTTATTCACTTATTGAGATCTGACAAATATAGTCTTGTCAAATAAATCTAACATACAATCTATATTTCCAAAATTTCGTAATGCTTCTTGTGTTTGTGGTTGTTGTTGTTGTACTGCAGTTCTGGAAGAGGGGGAGTTATATTTGCATCGACCAATGAAAACATTTCACAAATCCCGCTCTTTGGATATGAATATTAATGAAGCTTACGGCGGGTTTCTGTTCAATTCAGTTCAAACCTCTTTATTTCAGCGGAAAATGACTATTTTTAGTAACAAATTCGGCCGAACTGTTTGGCGGTGTAAAAACCCGTCAGTATACATACTAGAACAGAATAGAACTGATTTCCGTCAGAGTAGCATAAATCAAACGAGCGATTCGGCGTTGTAATTTTCGATGTAGCGACGGTATCTAAAAAAAAAACTTAATTTTTAGAATTTTCTTTTAGTTAAAAGTTAGTCGAGTTAATGACTGAGTGCTTGGACATTATAAGGCGGAGTGGATATTGACGGCGGGCGGAAGGGTATACCGTTTCCATAAAAATACCCGCCGCCAAAAAGGGTCCCCCAAAGGCCGCTATATGAAACTAAATTAAAAATTTTTTGAGGGAAATCTGCCCCCGGCGTTATTAATACCCCCCCGGGAGTAAATAAAATTTTAAAATAACGCGATTGGCAAAAAGTAAACCACCCCTCCGCTTTTTCCCCCCTTTAAAAAACTGCGGAATAAACTACGTAAAATGATTAAACCACACCCCGAATTTTTTTGCTTCTGGGGGGAAAACGTTCTGTTCTGTTAATACACTTCAGGGGGTTTTTTTTATGCCGGTTTTGTTATATTTTTATAATTTTCCCCGGCCGAATGAAAGTTTTTTGGGCCCGGGAAATTTACTAAAAAAAAAAAGGGGGGTATAGAATGAACTAATTGAAAATTTTCCTCGTTATTTTCATTAAACATATCAAAAAGGGGGATTTTTAAAATGTTCATTGGTCAGAAGTCACTCCCCTTTCCGGAATTTACATTTATAAAAAACAACAAAAACCGCATCTGGCTCTCAAAAAGAATTTTGGGAAATTTGCAAACCTTCAAAGTTTTTTTTAACCATGGGGAATGAGAAATTCAAAACACACTGAAAGTGAATAAATTTTTTTTAATTTTAAATTTTTTAAAAAAATGAAAAAAGTATGGGGGGGGGTTTTTAAATTTTAAAAAATTTGGGAACTTAAAATGTATTTTAAGCCCAGACAAAAACAATTGCTTTATCCTGAAAATTTTACAATTGTAGTCATTATATTAGGCCTACAATGAGAAACTAAATAATATTCATTTTTGATTTGGTGTTTTGCTCTTTTTTGGCCACAGGTCTTTAAAATTATATTTAATTAAAACCTTTTAATCACCATTAAAATTTTTCTCCAATTTATTTTGTACATTTGTAAACTAAAATATAGGGGTGACTGTTTTTTCAAAAAAACCAAAAAAAAGGTTTTGGGGTGCTGAAAAAAATGGCAAAATAAAGGTCTGATAATTTTTAAATCTATTAAATACTAAATTTCCCTTTGGGTTGTAAAGTTTTGGTAATAAATTTTCCACATAAATCGCCCCCAAAAACCCCTGGTTCTGGCCTTCATTCATATACATCTTAATGTATACTTAAATACTGCACGTTTATAAGTCTTTTTTCTTTAATCAGTTATTAAGGGGTTTAATCCCGGGCGGGGGGGGGCCCAAAAGGGATAATCGACCGAGGGCTTTAGCCCGAGGGTCATTATTCATTCAGGGCCGATTAACACCTTCCGGCCCAACGCTGACGTGTATTAATGTCTTTAATACACTTGGTAGATCTAATAGTAGCATTTAAAAAAAATCAAAACACAATTTAATAGACTTTAAAGTTCTTTCCTTGAAATTCTTGTCTCTCTTCTACTGTTTCTGTAAAGAGATGTTTACTGTTTGTGTGTTCAAAGCAGTAGAATCAAGAAGCAAGTTTTATTTTCATTTTTTTTTCGGAATGAATTTGTCGTATTATTTCTTTTAATTTCAATAGTAACAAAAATGTGTTTGTACTAAATACGCTTAAGCTCTCATAATAAAAATAAAGCGATTCGTGCTGACAACCCACTTTCACTTTTACAGTTAACTGTTGATGACGTAAAATATGACGTCATTGTTTCAGTTTGTGCACGTGCACATGTTCTGCGGGCTGATAACTAGTTCTCGGCCCCGGGCCGCAAACTCATAATAGGTCACGTGACACTCATATTCAGTTGAAATCATAGACAATTTTGTTACTATATATAGTAACAAGTGTATTAAATAGTTTTATATACACAGCTGCTGTTGATTCATGCAGAAATCTTACTTTTTTTCTATTAACATGATGCTTGCTGTAATATAAATTCGTTAAAAAGATTGTTGACAGGTTATATGGCCGTTTATAAACGGCTGTTTGCAATATAACCTTTGTCTAACGGCTTGGGTTATATTTTACAAATAGCCGTTTATATAGGGCCATATAACCTGTCAACGATCTTTATAACTAATAATATATACACTTATATGGTATGGTCTGCATATCTATAGCTTGTCATTTTTGGAAAAATAAGTTAACTTGTATGACAATTTAGTGGGCATTGTTGTGCAAATACTGTTTGCTCATTACTCAAGACACTCAATATAAGTATTATATTCAATACTCATGGCATTCATATTTGGTCCAAATTAAATGATGCATGATGGCATTGCACTATAACTTAAAGAGACCATAAAAAGATAGTCTTCAAAGCCCATATCCCTATGTTATTAGACCTAATGACCTACATATACATCTGCATTGAAGAATCAAAATAGGTTCATGAAAGGTGAGCAATTCTTTTACAAATTAAAAATTCTTTGCATAATGCTAATGATATTTAACTTTTGAATTTTAAACACAGGTAAAAGAATGTGTTGTGAACAATGCAAGGTCCTACATATGTGACGGCAAGTTCTTTCAAGAATGGTGGGGAAAATGATATACAGCAAATTTAAAGGAGGTTTACCAGTAGGTCATTTGTACTGTGGGAAATGTGGAGGTAAAAGTGAAGCAGGTATGTCGTAATTTTTCTTTGAAGTAAGATGTCCTCTCAGAAAATTTCCTCTGTAACAAGAGAATGTGGTATGAGTGTCCGTGGCCGAGTGGTTAATGTTGTTGTCTTCAAACCACTTGCCACTTACTGCTGTGGGTTCGAGTCCCGACAGGGACTTCGAATTCTCTCATGTAAGGAAGCTATCAAGCTAGCTTATGGAATGTTATTGGTTCTACTCAGGTATGGGTTTGTTCCTGAAATTATGCACGGAAGGGTACCTGAGGTCTTCCTCCCCAGTAAAGCTGTAACATCACCATATGACCTATACTGTGTCGGTGTGACGTAAAACCAAATAAAACAAATAAAAAGAGAATGTGGTGGTTCAAAAGTAAATGCAAAAATGCTAAACATGTTGAATGATCATATATCTAAGGAAATACTTGTGTTTATTTCTTTCTGTTTTGAACAATGTTTGTTTTAGTGTTTATATGAACATACAACTCGTATGTATTTGGTGTTAACATTTATATTTACAACATCTGCTATTTGTACTTTATAACTAAAGATAAATTAATTTACATTTACTCGGCTTTCTCATTACATATTCTTTGACTTTCAGACTTTGCCTTCATTATGAATATCAACCTTTTTCCGAGTGGCACTGAATGAAATTCAAGAGGATTGCAATTGTACACATTTGATCAGGTGACTAAGGAAAGGGGACACTGTCTCTTGAAAATCAGATCTACAATTTACTTGTCCAGAGTTATTGGGTAAGATTAACAGGTTGATACTGGGATTTTTCCCATCTGTAGCAGGGTCTGTTAAAGGGTGAAGCTCTCACCATATATCTTTCCACAAATTAAAGGGAAGTTTCCTTCCCCTTCCTGAGAAAAAACCTTTTTTTCGAAATAATGTAGATGAGAATTGATAATATTCAAGAAAATAAAAGGGACTCCACTTTTAGGTGATGGGACTGGAATTTTTTTTATTGTTTGATGTAGTTTAAAATAGCTTTTTACAAAAATTTGTTTTTCTTTTTCCAGAAGCTTATTTTATATTATTAAAAATTAAATTTGAAAAAACATTTTAAAATTTTTAAACTTAAATCAAGCTGATATTAATTGCCTGAAATCAATTTCATTTCAAAATTTTGAAATTTTTCCCAATTTTTTTAAAAACTTCTATGGTTTTGGTGATTTAATAATAAAATAAGACAAATTTTTATGAAAAAAAATCAAACACTTAAAAAATGAAAAAAAGCCCCACTCTTTTTTTAATTTAACATAACCTTTACAACGAGAAGGTAAAAAGAAGTTCGGGAAAAGCCCTTTTGATTATTTTTATTTCAATTAAAAATGAAAAAAAGTGACAAAAAGTAATTTTCATGGACCTTGGATGGGGCATAAGTCACTTTTTTTTTTATTTTTCCTTTTTGGGTCACAATGTAGCTATGACTAATATGACTTATTATGGTCATCATCTGTACCAAGCCGAAGGTATGGATATATATCCAAAGTGGATAAAATAGTGCATTGTTTTACAATATGTTGGAATGTCTGCAATATATTGTGTCAATGAAATAATTCTTAAATAGTTTATTGCAATTTTGTTTAGAATTTCAACATTTATACCAATTCTTCTGTATTTTTCAGGAGCCTGATTACACAGGATGGATGTTAATATCATCCAAGAATTTGGAGACATGTGCAACTTGATGAAGACTTTACAAAACAAAAATAGCTTAATTAACACATACTTAAACTTACAACCTCCTGTCAGATGAGCTGACTGATATTTCTGCAAGGAATCAATTGTACCATATACCAAAGGCGTATTATGATTTTGACATCTTTTAAGTTTATGGTATTTGTTATGAATCATAACAAATTTTGAATATCAAATGTATTTTCTTTATGCTCTGGCAAAACAACCTTTAGAACAAGACCTTCAAGTTAGACCCATTTTTGACTTTTAAAGGCACTTTATGCCTCTGAAAGCTTTTTTTTTATTTTTTTTGCTCACTTTAGATAAAAAAGTAACTATACTAGTCCCTGACGCCGGGTAACCATTTTTGTAAAGTTTTTTTAAAACCTCAAAATTCAAAGTCCATTTTACATAAGGGTTGAAACATCAATGAAACCCCAAACCTTTAAGGGGTTTTAAACGACTTTTTTTACAAATTAGCCCTTTTCTTTTCTAAATTTATGTTAAATTTTGGTACCACCCCAAAATTTTCATTTTCTTTAACTCTTGCTTTGAAAAATTGAAATTTTAAACTTTTTTTGGGGGAAAATAGGACCTCTCCAAACCCATAACAGGATTTTAAAAAAAATTAGTCTTTTTTGAACTTAAAAATGTTACATTATCAAGGCTCCTTTACTGTCAAGCACTTAGAATAGTAGTGTGCTCTCTTGTTCAAAAGCTTGTTGTCCCCCGCCTTTTCGAAAAAAGGGGGATATAGAAATAGGCTCCGTCCGTCCGTCCATCTGTCCGTCCGTCCGTCCGTCACACTTTCGTGTCCGGTCCATCACTTTGTCATTTATGAAAGGAATTTGAAATAACTTGGCACAAATGTTTATTATAATAAGACGATCTGTCATGCGCAACAACCAGACCCCTACCTCCAGGATCAAGGTCACACTTGCTCATTCAAGGTCAAAATTGCCTATTTGAGGGTATATGTCGTGTCCGGTCCATAACTTTCTTATCTATGAAGGGGTTTTGTAAATACTTGCCATTATTGTTCACAATAATCAGACGATGTGTCATGCGCAAAAACCAGTTACCTACCTTCAAGGTCAAGGTCACACTTTGAGGTCAAATATTAACATAGTCTGTTACAGGGTATATTTCGTGTCCGGTCCATAACTTTGTCATTTATGAAAGGATTTTGAAATAACTTGGCACAAATGTTTGTTATAATAAGACGATGTGTCATGCGCAACAACAAGACCCTTACCTTCAGGGTCAAGGTCGTACTTGCTCATTCAAGGTTAACATTGTCTATTTGAGGGTATATGTTGTGTCCGGTCCATAACTTTCTTATCTATGAAGGGATTTTGTAAATACTTGCCATAATTGTTCACAATAATCAGACGATGTGTCATGCGCATAAACCAGTCACCTACCTTCAAGGTCAAGGTCACACTTGGTGGTCAACTATTAACATAATCTGTTACAGGGTATATTTCGTATCCGGTCCATAACTTTGTCATTTAACAAGGGAATTTAAGATAACTTGGCACAAATGTTTGTTATAATAAGACGATGTGTCATGCGCAACAACTAGACCCGTACCTTCAGGGTCAAGGTCGTACTTGCTCATTCAAGTTCAACATTGCCTATTTGAGGGTATATGTCGTGTCCGGTCCATAACTTTCTTATCTATGAAGGGGTTTTGTAAATACTTGCCATTATTGTTCACAATAATCAGACGATGTGTCATGCGCAAAAACCAGTTACCTACCTTCAAGGTCAAGGTCACACTTGGAGGTCAAATATTGACATAGTCTGTTACAGGGTATATTTCGTGTCCGGTCCATAACTTTGTCATTTATGAAAGGATTTTGAAATAACTTGGCACAAATGTTTGTTATAATAAGACGATGTGTCATGCGCAACAACCAGACCCTTACCTTCAGGGTCAAGGTCGTTCTTGCTCATTCAAGGTTAACATTGTCTATTTGAGGGTATATGTCGTGTCCGGTCCATAACTTTTTTATCTATGAAGGGATTTTGTAAATACTTGCCATTATTGTTAACAATAATCAGACGATGTGTCATGCGCAAAAACCAGTCACCTACCTTCAAGGTCAAGGTCACACTTGGAGGTCAAATATTAACATAATCTGTTACAGGGTATATTTCGTGTCCGGTCCATAACTTTGTCATTTATCAAGGGTATTTGAGATAACTTGGCACAAATGTTTGTTATAATAAGACGATGTGTCATGCGCAACAACCAGACCCGTACCTTCAGGGTCAAGGTCGTACTTGCTCATTCAAGGTCAACATTGTCTATTTGAGGGTATATGTCGTGTCCGGTACATAACTTTCTTATCTATGAAGGGATTTTGTAAAAACTTGCCATAATTGTTCACAATAATTAGATGATGTGTCATGCGGAAAAACCGGTCAACTACCTTCAAGGTCAAGGTCACACTGAGAGGTCAAAAATTTACATAGTCTGTTACAGGGTATATTTTTGTCCGGTCTAAAACTTTTTCATAGATCAAAGGATTTTGAAAATACTTTGCACAAATAGTCACTTTAATAAGAGGATGTGTCATGCGCAACACCTGCATCCCTACCTCCAAGGTCAAGGTCATACTTAGAGGTCACATAGTCTGTTACACGGTATATTTCGTGTCTGGTCCATCACTTTGTCATTTATGAAACGATTTTGAAATAACTTGGCACAAATGTTTGTTATAATAAGACGATGTGTCGGGCGCAACAACCAGATCCTTACCTTCAGGGTCAAGGTCGTACTTGCTCATTCAAGGTTAACATTGTCTATTTGAGGGTAAATGTTGTGTCCGGTCCATAACTTTCTTATCTATGAAGGGATTTTGTAAATACTTGCCATAATTGTTCACAATAATCAGACGATGTGTCATGCGCAAAAAACAGTCACCTACCTTCAAGGTCAAGGTCACACTTGGAGGTCAAATATTAACATAATCTGTTACAGGGTATATTTCGTATCCGGTCCATAACTTTGTCATTTAACAAGGGAATTTGAGATAACTTGGCACAAATGTTTGTTATAATAAGACGATGTGTCATGCGCAACAACCAGGCCCGTACCTTCAAGGTCAAGGTCGTACTTGCTCATTCAAGGTCAACATTGCCTATTTGAGGGTATATGTCGTGTCCGGTCCATAACTTTCTTATCTATGAAGGGATTTTGTAAATACTCGCCATAATTGTTTACAATAATCAGATGATGTGTCATGCGCAAAAACCGGTCACCTTCCTTCAAGGTCAAGGTCACACTGAGAGGTCAAATATTTACATAGTCTGTTACAGGGTATATTTTTTGTCCGGTCTAAAACTTTTTCATAGATCAAAGGATTTTGAAAATACTTTGCACAAATAGTCACTTTAATAAGAGGATGTGTCATGCGCAACACCTGCATCCCTACTTCCAAGGTCAAGGTCACACTTAGAGGTCAATAATTAACATAGTCTGTTATAGGGTATATTTTGTGTCGAATCTAGAACTTCTTCATAGTTCAAGGGATTTTGAAATAACTTTGCACAAAAAGTCACAAAAATAAGCCGATATGTCAGGTACAACACCTGCACCCCTACCTCTTAAGGTCAAGGTCACACTTAGAGGTTAAAGGTAAACAGAGTCTGTTATTTGGTATATTTTTTGTCCCATCCATTACTTCTTCATAGATTAAGGGATTTTGAAAATATTTGGCACAAATAGTCACAATGATTAGATGATATGTCATGCGTAACATCTGTGTCCCTACCTCCAAGGTCAAGGTCGCACTTAGAGGTCAAAGATTTACATAGTCTGTTATATGGTATATTTTGTGTCCAACCTATAACTTCTTCATAGTTCAAGGGATTTTGAAATTACTTGGCACAAATAGTCTCAATAATAAGACGTTATGTCATGCACCTGCTCCCCTACCTCCAAAGTCAAGGTCAAACTTAGAGGTCAAAGCTTAACATGATAGATTTTTAAATTCCGTGTTTCATTTTATTTTTTTAACAAATTTATTGTTACATTTGCAGATCTAGCATTGATCATAATTTTGGACTGAATGTCCCGAGATCAATACCTATATCTTTTGGAATAGCACAATTGTATGCTTCATATAAAACTCCCGGGGCGGGGGACGTTGGTAACTCTGTTACAAATTATTGTTAATTTTGTTGTGCCGTTATATTTTCTAAAAAGCCACTCATTGACCAATTACTTGAACCATTTTTTTTTTGCAATTAGTAATAATATATACAGATAGAAATTAGTGATTCTGTATGGAAAATAAAATACTACTTTTTACACTTTGCTACTTTTATAAAAGTTATTTCACATTCAGAGATACCTTCTTCAATTGATAAGCATCTAAAATTCTCTAATACCATTATATGAGCATTATAAAACTTGTATTGCTCTGTCTAAAGAGTGAAAAAATATTCATTTCTTAAGCATAGTGTGCCTTAAAGGTCTTTTTTTAAATTTTGCTTGTTTTTGCTTTTATTTATTAGTTATGACTGGAATGTCTTAAAACATAGACTTAACAATGATTTAGATAAGATATTAAAGTACACTTACTGTGACCTTTACAAGCCGTTCATATAGCTCACATAGACTTTATATAATAAATTAACAGGCAATCCCCGCTTATGTTAACAGGTTATCTCCCTTATGTGAAGCTACTGGTAAATATTTGGACTTGATATTTAAATTTTGGGTTTCGCAAATTCTATGTCAATTTTGGAGCAAAAGAAAAAAGAAAACATGCCCAGAGCAATGTGGAGACAACACTCTTTTTCCAAATTCAAACAAATAAACAGTTTTAAACAGTTAAAAATGTAAAAAAAGAAATTGCAATTAAACAGTGTACCAAACGTTAACAAGAGCCATTGCCAGGCGGGTGCAATGCTAAACTTTTGTTTCTTTCTAAAAGCAAACAAACTATTCAAACAAATCTCAAAGTAGAAAATTAAAAAAAAAAAATGTTCTTTCTATCATTATTTAGATACGTCAGTCTAGTCACACTTGTATGAATCATTTCCATAGATAAATGACAAAGTTAAGAAAATATAATACAAATTCAATTATTTGACCTTGACAGTGAAGGTCAATTAT